CAAAACGCGACCAAAAATAAATAATGGGTTAAGGATTGTTTTCGCGTAAAATCCCATCAGACCCAAACGTTGTTTGAACACTCACATCGGTGGTTTATGGTGATGCTATAGATTGTAACTAAATGGAAGAATGGGCAAGTAGTATATCAGTTCTATAGAAAATCCAAAGGAATTAGCCCAGTTAACAAACAAACAAAAGGTTGCGAACTGCGCCTGTGGCTCAAGGTAGTGCTATCGGACGTACGCGCCGTTTTTTAACGCACAATTTCGGCACCAAATAGCGAACGTAAGTAGCATCGGCATTGGAGCTGCTCGTAGAAGACTAAGGGGAAACGTACGGGCAACGAGCAGATGACTTTGACGTAAATTCCCAGCACTATGCAACGCTCACAACACACAATCCCTGCCACGCAACCGTTTGTGTATGATGAGCGTTTAAGTGATATACTTCTCACACTACATCCATGTATGATCGACTTCTGTCATCGCCCATTCTCCATCACAATATGTGTATACCTCTGTCATCTCGCAGTGCCTACTTTTCGCTCGCCGACGTCAGGTGAATAAAGCAATCAGCTGTCCAACGCAGGAATTAGGCCTTATGTCTCGATGCGTTAGTTTCACCCATCATTGTAATAAGGATGACTGAGCGGGTGTTTTTGGTCCGCTCTACAGTGGGTGCGTGGGAGCGCATTCAGTATATCATCCCCTTATCCACAAAGATCACTTTCATCATTGCTAGGTGCCTCAGCAGATTCCGACCTAGTACATCTTCAGATAATCACGAGTGCTACTCATATCTGATTGACCACAAGACTACTTTCAGGAAAGTTCCTTTGCATACCGCACTGAGCTCTGTACAATTTGTTACCTGAACAGATATCCTGGTCTATAATCAGTATAATTAAGTTCGTTTGGATTATGACCCACAGTGTTGCAAATAGATCTGTGTAGATGGGTGAGCAGTCCTTTCGTTCTTGGCGATAAGCATTAATAATAAAAACTTGCTATCCCGTTTTGCATGGTACCATCACACTTCCACAACCACACTTAGGTATACCATTGCTCTATTGCTTCACTGATACGCAGTTTCCTTGGTCCGCTTGTGGAGCATTCAAATTTCTGATACATCCCATTGCAACCTAGGGGACATGTGAATTTTATGCTTTTTACCCGCCATAAACCACAGATCCAATGTAACCATAGGTTCGTGTGGTTAACTAACAACGCAGAATTTACTTACTTCATTCTTTACTTGACAGAACCCCAACGATCGCTTTCATAAGCACATGTCGCGCGTTTCCTGGAGATCGCAATCACCACCTTTTAAAGGCAATTGGCATCGAATCAAACTTTGTGCTTAGTGCACACAGTGCTGTAACACTAGAAATCGGTTGAAGTGTTCGTCCCTTGCCAGAATTGACGGTTGATTCTCAATCGAAACTCGAGGTCGCTGGGCCTCACACAGGAAAGAGAGAAGACCGGATAGGACGAGTAGAGGAACAGGGACGTATTAGCCAACAACGTGGTCCATTCTAAAGGTAACATCATAAATTCGTGAATAGTGATTAAAGCTCATGTAGATAATTCCAGAAGCGTCAACTTCCGGCCAATCACATAAAGCCACCTCGTATTATTTGGCCGCTTTACCCGTTTGGCTATCTGTTCGCCCCAATCAGTGCAGGTGAATTTGGCTCGCCAGCCATGTCCTGGCTCCATAACGGCGATGGGCGCCCCGGATATTCGCTTAGCGTATTCCCTCCTAACATCAGAATTGCTTCTTTCGTCAGAATAAAAGCTTTTCAACCTACCACGCTATGAAAGATAAGCACTGTTTAATTAAAAAGCTCTTTGCTCTCTTTACGTAAGAGTTAACAAAGTAACGCATTTTCCACCTGTACGCTAAATCCATCTGCACGTTACGAAATGTGCCAGGCGGGAGACAACGACTACTCGGTAAGCGGAAAGAAAACAAAAACGGAATAGTAGAGCATTACTAATGGGCGCATGGGATGGGACAAGACACGACAGCGCGACGCTTGAGGATAGAGCTGAAAGCGGATCACGAGCGACGTCTGCTAATGAGCCTGTGTCCAGAACAACGGAAGAAGTATTTGGAGAGAACGCAGTAACTGAAGCAAATAGGCTGCTTGCGAAACCCACAGAACTGAACGCGGGCCAGGTGATGCCGCCACTGGAAAGCAAATCGTGAGATTTGAAACAACTTTGGACTGGCCCGAACTGGAAATAGCGAAGCGAAGATATGCGATGGAAATCTGCACGGATTGTCCCTAGGCTCAAGCTCCTTAAGGCACATCGAATGGCCCGCATTACTCTGTTGGAAGGAGACATGTTTCATATACGGGCGGGTTTGTGAGTGGTCAGCTGCACACTGATGTGACAATACACGCTCCGCCCCCCGCCCGCATCGTTCTCGCTGCACTGTTGACGTGACCAGTCAGGATGAAACTGACCTGGTCAGATAAATTTATAAATAAATAAATAAATACCAAAGCGTTTACTCTCGACAAGGCGAGGCACGCATTTACAGGCAAGATCATTAAGATATAACAGTGCATGATCAAGAATGTACAAAAATCCGATATGTTTGCCATAACAGTGTATGTGTTTGTAGGGGGTATGTAAGTATGTAATTGTGTGTATATATGTAGCTGTGCAGTTTATGCTTGTAATTGTGCTGCTCCATTTTTGAATGTTGAATATCGTCAGCAATGTGCGAGTAGAAGATTGGTGTCCGTGGGTTAGAAAGGATTATCCGGATATCCACGCGGCAGTGACTTTATTTTATGGCCTGTCACTACAGCCACGTCACCGTGATGTTAAGCAGACATTTGTGGCTTTCTATAGGGAGAACACTTGCCAGTAGAAAACCCACCAAGTCCTGGAACACTGCCGCCGTAATATTTGCTGGAACGGGTTCAAGCCCGAACCACCTAGCTGGCACCACGAGGAGGTTGTTCGGCTAGCCAGCCACGGAGACTTGGAGACATGGCTTGATGACTTGAAGGACATCACTGCATGTGATGGGGTCAAATGTAACTCCAATTGGCTAACTACTTTCCGTAGGCTGTTGGTTGGAAAAACGAATGCCGTGTATTTGCTAACTCAGAAGGCCGAATCCGGCTGTTAGTTCATTGAGTTGGAGGCTGCATACTGTGCCAAATTTGGTAACGCGGGCGATGAACAGCGAGCACTGCCGCAGTTACGCTCCGCCAGAAGGGAAGTACAGAAGGATTTGATAATACTTTTCTAGCAGATGGACAGATGTCTGGCCACTGGGCTCCCCGAGTTGGAGGGTAACGCAAGGTAACGACTACTCAAACAGCAAGTTGTGCGGATCCTGCCAGAATCGTTCCGTGACTAGTTAAAATTGGCAGTGCTGATTGGGGCCATCAGGGCGGAAGATCTGGTGACGGTTGCCTAGGATCCGTTAGAGCGAGTGACAATAAGGAGAGTTTAGCATTAGGAGGTGGAGCGCCGCGTATACCAACTGTCCAGGATGGTGGAGAAGCTATAGTCGAGGGAGACTCCGAAGGTGCTTTCAGAACGCAATGAACATGGAAGCCGTAGCAGTCGCCGTTGTTTCCAATGCAATCAGGTGGGTCGTGTAGCTACATCCTACATCAACTGCCATTGGTACCATTGTTTCTCCATCCTGGCCGAGTAGGTAGCGGGTACTGGTCCTCAAGGTAACTGTTGAAGGCTTGTCGGTCTAGACCATAGTGGCAACCAGAGCGGACGTGTCCGTTTCAAAGAGGTTTGAAGGAATTCCAGTAGCTCATTCTTCGATGGTGTTTCAGACCGTCGGTGGACATTGTTTGACGGTAAAGCGCACACAGCGGTTGCGAATCAGGGTAGAAGAAACGCTCATCAGACATGTTAGGTTCATTTTGAAGAAGGTAACCGAAACATTCATCGGCAACGATATCCTCAAAAGGTGCGGGGCCAAAAGTGAGCTGGGAAACTATTTGGTAATCGTAGGGAACGAGACGACTGAGATGAACTCTGGGAGAGCCGATCGATTAGGTGTCGTCAAGGTTCTGCTTGATTGCCAGAACCCTGAAATACGGAGTGTACTGAGCAAGTATGCTCACCTATTCACAGATGGAAATGATGATTACGGATTCTGTACTTGGGTGGAACATTGAATACGACTAATCCCTGGAGGGCAGTGGGAGCTGATTTTCAGAAGAATACTGCGATACACCTGACAAAGATACAAACAGGTAGCAACAAGGGAAGTGAAAGTTATCATCAGGCGAACGCGCAGTCCGTATTCAGCACCCGTGCTACTGACGAAAAGGCCGACAGTACCTATCGATTTTGCATTGGTTTCAGAGAACTGAACACAGTGACGGTGAAGGACACGTTTCCGATGCATCAGACGGAAGAAATTTTCGCCAGCCTTCACAGTGCCAAGCAGATATACGTGATAGTTCTCCGAGCAAGATATTGGAAGCTGCCTATTGCAGAGGAAGATCGCCACAAGGCGGCTTTCAGTGTGAATGGCCAGCAGTTCGAGTTTCTAAAAATGCCGTTTGGATTATGCAACGCCACAGTTACATTCGGACGCCTATTGCTGATGCTCTTGGAAAACCTAGAACGCGTGGTTGTCTATGGTGAGGACACCATCGTCTTTTCCAAGCCAGAATACGAACGTCGTACCAGACTTGCAGTAGTACTACAAAGACTGGAAGAACCTTGTTTTAAACTCTCTCGTAAGCAGTCGTAGCTTGCTCTGAAGTTGATGATATGTGTCTAGGCCACATTATAGGCAAGGCTCAAGTACATCAGCTTCTGGAAAAACACGAGATTATCAAAAGCTTCACAAGCCAAATCCAGGCGTCAGCTCCGTTCGTTCTTGGGAGCGGTGGCTTATGACTCGAAGTTTGTGCCCAATTTTGCAGAGAGAACCAGCCCGTTGTTGAAGCTGCTTCACAAAGACGAACCGTTCGTGTGGCAGCCGAAATGGATCATGCCTTTAACCACCTAAAGGCATGCATAGCAGAAGCCCCCGTAACTTGCTTGCGGCCACCCAGTGCTGATGAGAAATTCACTTTGGCAGTCGATGCAAGCAGTATAGCAATCGGTACGGTATTGTCCCAACCAACTGGGGTGGTGGAATATGCGAGTAGAGAACTGAGAGTAGCAGAGTAAAAATATTCTACGGCGCAGAAAATATGTCTGGCCATCGTGTGGGTCTTGGATAAGTGAAGAATTAACCTCCTCACGACCGGATTCCTGATCGTCACTGACCACAAGCCGCTTTCATGGTTGATGACAGCGAAAGACCCACGGGAATGCCTTGCGCGGTGTGCATACCGACTACAAAAATTAAGCTTCATTATCGAGCACGCAGATGGAAGGCAGAACATACTATCTGATGTGTTGTCACGCCCGTCGTTGGACTACCTCATGCTGGGCAATGCCATACCGGCGCGCGCGGCCACAGTGGAGGATAGAAAGCTGGTAGGAGATCAAAATACAGATGAATTCGTGGCGGCACTGTGCTCTCCCTTACAGGGTGGCGCCAAGCCGAAGGCCACCACATGAGAGGTGGAGGAACTTCTTATGATCTGGGACAGGCTGGGGGTGGAAAACGATAATGTAGTTTTCAGTATAAACGTTAGCACCAAAGCACTGCATGATTTAATTTCGGACAACTTGATCTGCCTATTCTCAAGTGCGTACTACAGAACGCGTGAGGATTAATAACATCTTGAAGAGTTAAGAAATTGAGAAAGAAAATTCATCAACATACGTCCATCCACATACACACAAACACACGCCTTTGCCAATTCATCAGCTGTCTATTGGCTTACTACCAGGGTAGAGCCAGTGTGACGAACGCGTCCTTCTGCACACACTGACTAGGGTCAAGCTGTTTGATCGCGACCGCCTCAGCATATCACAGCACATGAGTGTTGTTGCATGCGTAGATCACAAGGCGGGAGAGACTTTGGTGCGCTGAGGCTGGTGGTGGCTAGATCCTGACAGATGACCTACGCATTGCTGCTACCGTTGCGCCATTGGCTAATGTCCTGGACGCCTCCTCGTGGCGGCCGCTGGGTGGGAGTTGGGTTTCGCCCTTCTCCCTGCTAAGATCCAAAACACCAATCCGCATCAGTCAGTGAACTGACCATTTTCTAGACCCGCTGCCTTTCGAGTGTACATTTAATCGAAGGCTTTGGCTGAGGACCCGAGCCGCCATCCTGTCAGATATGGGCGCCCTGCCAGTATCCCAACCCATCCTCTTCGGAGGTTAGGAAGTGGTCGATGGTCCTCTTCCCGTATAACCTAGCCATGGGAGACAAAAGGTCCACTTGTGATAAGCTCACAGCTCGATTGGCGTAAAGCACGAGCACCACGCATTGTCTCTGACGGTGGGAGGACACCTCTGGGTGTTCAACGGTTTGCAACTGCCCGTCTCAAGCCAGGCAGCCCCTGGTCAAATTGGTGCAAACCAGCCAAAACCCACCTGCCTCTGGCCGTGATCGCAGATGCGTATCCTACTACGGTCGCAAAACATATATGAATATTTCCAGTATCTCCAAGGCTGCGTGTGACGGCCAACAAGCAGATCCCAATCTGTCTCTGCAATCGCATTCCCGAGCTGGATCTGATCCCCACTGCCTTGTGAGTCAGGCTATTAAGCCAAACGCTCCGGGCGGAGTCCCTCAAGCAAACCTCCGAACCACCCACTGCCTTGTGGGTCAGGCTATTGAGCCAAAGGCTCCGGGTCGAGTCCCTTAAGAAAACCTCCGAAGCACAACGACCACCTCGCGTGCGATTGCCCACCAATGCAATCGTAGGCCTGCGCGCAAAGCACTCAGCATCGGGTGCTGGAACGTGCGCACACTACTTGACCGGAACTCCAGCGAGCGCCAGGAGCGACGCACTGCACTGGTCGCGATGGAACTGGCGCGCTACAACATCGATATTACGGCGCTCAGTGAAACCCGGCTCGCTGAGCAAGGTAAGTTGCATGAACCAGATGCCGGCTACAAATTCTACTGGGTGAGCAACGCCGCCTCAGCACCACGTGAACATGGGGTCGGATTTGCAATATCCGATCGCCTAAATGCACAGCTGGTGGGTGAACCAACGGGCATCAGCGCGACTGATGACTGTTCGCCTACGACTTGGAAGAGGTAAGTTTGCTACTTTTATAAGCACATACGGTCCGACCATGTGTTATCCTGATGACACGCGTGATCAATTCTACACTCACGGATCCTCCGTGATACGGTCTGTGTCGAGGAGCGACCGACTATTTCTGCTGGGTGATTTCAACGCATGCGTTGTTTGTGATGCATCGGTGTGGAAAGATGCCATCGGTCCGCATGTCATTGATTCAGCGAAGGCGAACGGTGACAGGCTGCTCTCACTGTGTGCCACTCACAGGCTGACGACCACGAACACTCGGTTTGCACTACGTCCTAGTGAGATAGCAACCTGGACGAACCCACGGAGTGGTCACGCTCACCTGCTCGACTAGGTCATTGTACGTCAGCGTGATATGCGTGAAGTGCGCATAACACGTGTACTGCGTGGAGCTGAGTGTGGCACTGATCACAAATTGGTGCGGACCGAACTATACATATATTTTCTTAAATCAATGTATTGCACTCCTGCCGTGAATCGGCGTAAATTTAACATTCTCTCCATTGGTACTACGGCGAAACGTATTGAACTGGAGAAGGCGATGGCTGCACGCCTGTGTGATGTGGACCGCATAGCCACAGTGGGCGACCTTTGGCACCAGATTCGCGACCAGGTGACAGTTGCTGCCGAGGAGACCATCGGGCGCGCAAACTGCAAGCGGCCTGATTGGTTTGATGACAACAATGCGACGATTGGCGCATTGGTGTCAGAGAAGAATGCAGCAATTGCTGCACATGTGGCAGACCCCAGTGACTTTGGAAAGAGTATTCAGTTTCGCAAACTTCGACGGCGACTGACCCGAGAGCTCCGTCGCATTAAAAATGCATGGTGGACGGAGAAGGCGAAGCAGATGGAATGCTACGCGGAATGCCGCCAACACAAGGAATTCTTTGACTCCTTAAAGGCGGTGTATGTACGGAGGTTGGAGCCGCTAATGACGCCGATCTATGATAGATCAGGCGCTGCGCGCACACAGACTGCAGACATATTGCAGGTCTGGCGGAAACACTTCGACTCTTTCTTGAACAACCGTTCAGAGATCGACTGGCTTACATTGAACGGCCGGAAGCAGCACGATATGAAGGCGAATCTGGCGGACACGCCGACCCTGGATGAAACGCAGAGAGCACTTACTCAGCTGCGAAACGGCAAATGTGCCGGAGCCGACAGGATCCCGCCTGAAGTATTGAAACACAGCGGACCCGCGTTGATGACTGCGCTGCACCACTTAATGCAACGCGTATGGATTGAGGAGGAGGTGCCTCGTGAGCTGAAGGATGCCCTTGGGCTACCACCGTACAAGGGCAAAGGGAGTAAGCAATGTTGCATCAACTTGCTGAGTTTTGTGGGCAAGGTGATTGAGCGAATCCTGCTCAACCGCCTCGTCAGTCAGGTTGTGGAACCTAACGTGGCGGAAGAGCAGTGTGGCTTCCGTTCTGGTCGCAGCACTATATAGATATGGTGTTTGCGGCTCGTCAGTTGCAGGAGAAGTGCAGAGAACGACACCAGCCATTGCACTCGCCTTTCATTGATTTCATCAAGGCATATGATACGGTGAACCGCGAGGCATTGTGCTTGGTGTTGGGTAAGTTTGGTTGTTCGCATAAGTTTGTAAGTTTAATTGAATGCCTGCACAGCGGCATGCGAGCGAGGGTGTAGCTGAGTGGAGAGACCTCAGATGACTTTGCAATTGTCGCTTGTGTGAAGCTAGGCTGTGTCTTAGCTCCTGCCCTGTTTAATATATATCTACATTCAACGTTGGCTTGTGCTTTTGATGCCGCTTGTGCTTACGGTGTTCGTGTGGAGTACCCTATTGATGGTGGGTTGCTGAACATCCGTCGTTTCGGTGCAAGAACTTTAGTCTGTGAGACAACTATCCGTATGTTGCTGTTCAATGACGACTGTGCGTTGTTTTCACACAGCGCGGATGAGTTGCAGCACATGACTACTGCTCTGGCTTCGACAGCGGCCAAATTCGGGCTCAACATCAACACAAGCAAAACTGTCTGTCTCTTTCAGCCTTCACCGGAGGTGCAATCTTCAATATTGCCGCGGATCAGCATTGGTGCTGAAGTATTGGAAACCACCTCCCGTTTCAGCTACCTTGTGAGTGTGATGTCGACGAACCAGCAGCTACACATTGAGTTGCGTATTCGCGTGTCGAAGGCAGCGGTAGCATTCGGGAAGCTAGAGTACCGAGTGTGGAACAACCATCAGCTTAGCATTGGCACGAAGCTGATGGTGTACAAATCCATGGTGCTGTTCGTTCTTCTATACGGCAGTGAAACGTGGACGATGTACCGGTGGGATGTGACATATCTCGAGCGGTTCCATCAGCAGTGCTTGCGACGGATTTTGCGGATCAGTTGGGGCGACAGAGTTGCTGACACAGAAGTCTTTGCGAGAAAGTCTAATGGATGCAGTGGACTGCATAATTTTAATGAGACACCTGAAGTGGCCCCGTCATGTGTGGCGTATGGATTCAACGCGGATACCGAAACAACTCTTATACGGTCAGCTGAGTATTGAGAAGCGGCATGTGGGGAAACCAAAGTTATGTTACCAGGACATGATCAAACTGAGCCTCTCACGTTCTAATCTTGATTGAAGATAATGGGAATCGAAGGCGGTTGATCGGCGTGCATGGCAGGATCTAATCACGAAGGCAGTTGCTGAAGTGCGGGAGAAAGACCTCATGCATGCAGAGGAGAATCGGCAAGTGCGGAAGCGGCAAGCACCAATGAATTGTACTCCATCGACATCGAGCGCATGGTGCTGTAGAACATGCGGTCGCGAGTGTCTTAGTCAGGCAGGCCTAGTAAGCCATGAGAGAGGTCACTCGGGACCACTGCCGTAGCGCCGACGGGTCCATCAGTGAACGTGGGCAGCACTGGCGCAGCGTTTGTAGGCACGCTGAATTCGATTTACTAACCGCGTGCTTGCAGGCTAAGTCTCTTTATTTATGGTGGTGGGTTTTCGGTTCTGTCCTAATGCCTTTCTTTCTCATATAAATGTCTAGTGGGCCATGAGCTAGGCCACCCGGGACCACTACAGAAGCGACGACGGGTCCTGCAGAGAATTACGGCGAGCCGGCGCAGCGTTTGTAGGCACGCTGAATTCGATTTACTAACCACGTGCTTGCATGCTAAGTCTCTTTATTTCAGGTGGTGGGTTTTCAATTTTGTCCCAACGCTCTTCTTTCTCATATAAA